ATCTGCTTAAAAATATTAATGTACTGTACTTCTTTTTGTTGGTTAAACCTACACTAAATTTAACTTTGCTCTATAGATTTTTAAAGAATGTAATGGATTTACGCTAACAATAACACAATTGAAACTGTAACACTTTTTAAAATAGTATTTGATTTGATTTCATAATAAATTCGGACACCTATTAATAGTATGTGCTTGTTCAATCCTAGGAAACTATCAGTAGGTTCAAAAGGTTTAACAGGTTCAAAACTGGACCCAGCTGTTGATCATTAGGTTAAAATAGATGGTCCTACCCAAAGAACTAATCGATCTTTATAATGGTTTCCTTCTTAATTCATCACTCATCTTGCCTTAAAATACGCATTACAGGATATAATAAAAAAGTGAATAAATGCTAAATATTGATTAGATTATGACCCATTTTGAGCAATTAGAATATTGTTAAATACAATTTCACCAGAGCTCATTAAGTTCTCAAAACGCAGGAGAGAGTGCCGCTACGTGTTCTGATAAGCGGAGATTTACGGTGGCGGCTCCTTTGAAGCGATAACAATTCTCTTGTAAACCGCCCGATGGGCAATAAAGGAATGTATTTAGTTTGCTCCCGAGCGGCGTGCACCCTCAAAGGGACCTGAAAAAATCACGGGTCGCGGGTGCAAAAAGTAATAGCAAATGTACCGCATCATCTCCCGGTCCACGCGGACACCTGGTATACCACAAGGATGCATGTTGGGGCCGTTTCTGTTTCCGTGGATTTTTTACTACAGCGGCAATTCGTAAGCTTCCTTAAGAAGTCTATTGAAACGCGTTTGCATCATTTACCGTAAATTGAACTAAGTTGGTTGATCGAAAGGAGATGGAGGATTAGCTTTTTTTGTTCCTACACTTCAGCTGTTCGTATAAGAATTGATAAGTTTCTTGTTATCTTTCAAAACGCAAGATGTATCAATGCGTACTTTGTATCAGCTGCGGGGTGTAACAGCTGTCACAAGAGTTATTAGATTAAATTAATTAATTTCTAAAATGTCTCAAAATCTTAAAAGTCCAGTTCAGGAAAATTACCTACACCTGATCATGTTTATCGTTTATCGTAGGTTAAAAAAAAATGGAAAATGTCCTGTTCTATAAAATACGTGTAATGCACTTCTCTGTGTCAAAACAAAATCATGCCACCTTTTGTTTCAACTTTAGTTTCTACGAACTTCACTTGCAAATCTCTGACACTATTTTACTTCATAGGTTTGCTAGCAGAGGTCAGTTACCATTGCCAGTGGAAGCAACTCGCTCAGATGATTAGCACCTGGCTTGTTCAGTTTAGTATGGAGTGCCTCAGGGCTCCACTCTCGGACCGGTACTGTTACTCGCATCATCGCCATTGTTGCCGATGTTTATCGACCGGTGCACTTTATAATCAGCTGATCCATTGTTGAGCTGAAAGGAGTTTCGAGATTGAAAACAATCACTGCGATACGGTTTACGTTGTTTCACAATGTAACGAATACCATTACCGAGATATTGGCTGTTTATCGCGACTAGATTGCTGAAACTGTTTATTTTGTGTGGGCGGGGGTGAGGGGGGGTTGAGTACGAAATAGGACACGATCAGATCATTTAGGTATAAAGTTTGAACATTTTATTTATCGGATACTGTTATAGTTACACCATACACTTCTGTTCGAGCATTAATGCAAGTAGCTACGTTTATCTCCAAGATTGGGAGTAATGTAATTTTAGAGTTTTGCTTCTTAAGGAAATGGTTTATCCATAAATGTTAGACATCATGTTCGCTCTTACAAAACCATTCCTTACGTTTTTCTATCCTGAGGAAACATTTTTTGGTCAAAACAATTAGATTTTGCATTGGTAAAACAAACGATTCCCTCCGAATAGGTTTACACAGCAGTGTTATTGACTGCATTCAATACTATTTATACCATAAATCTTAACTCATTTTAGCGAATTTTCCTATAGGGAAGTAGCTATTACCGTAGGTGGCACGGTAAGACCTAGACCCGGGACCGATTTACTTTTTCATTTTGATGTCCCCAGAGGCCAAAAACACCATTCGTTCAAATTTGTATATATGTATATATATATATATAGACTTATATATATATACGTCCGTGAACGCGATAACTTGAGTAATTTTTGTCCGATTTTGATGAAATTTGGTTTAAAGGTGTAAAGCGGGATAAACTTGAATGAGTTCGCGAGCCAGCACGATCGGACCATGGGAACGGGGCATTACGGGGGGTTTTATGGGGTAAAAATTGGTTTTTCTCACTTTTGACCCTCAAAACACAAAATTTCCCGATTTCTCTTTAGACCTTTTTAAAGAGCATAAAAAAACAAATAATTTAGTATATAAAAGTATTTTTGTTCGATTATTAGTAACGGAGAAAATTAAAAAAAATGTAAATTTAAAATTCCCATGTTATTCTTATGGAGAATGTTGTCAAATGTTGTAGTTTGCTTGTTTATGGGTATATTTTGATCAAACATGGCAAATTTATTTATTTTGTACTAAGCTATCAATATTTTACTCAAAAACACACTTTATTAGTTTCCTTGTAGCAGCAAACCTAGGTACTCGTTAAACCTAATGTTATTAAAATATATTTAACTGAAAATCAATTCAGACAAATAGAAATTCGCTTAGTCGGCAGGTTTGCTGCGGCGGGGTATTTCACATTAGATTACACTAGGAAAGGGTTCGGAAACCACTGATACCTTCTTTGCTTCCACAAACAAACGCGTTTACAGTAATTAGTTTAACTAAATGCGGTAATTGATGTACGTGTGACTCGCTTGTTTACAATTACTGCACTAATTGGGACACCGACAATTACCAATTAACTTACCACTTGTTTGTTGCAAGTCGTGTTAATTCCATTTGTGCAACTCGCCAGATACAAGTAAAGCAGAACGACTCGCTGACGTTTTCACGATTTAACGCGCGTTAACCGTTAACACACGCTTCATTGGAAGTTCATTAAATAGGGAAGGTGTTAGTTACAGTTTAACAGCGCCATTTCTGTAACCATTCAATGTTGAAGCTATTAATTTCAGCTTGTTTATAATTAATTAAATACTTACATTGTAAGTTGCCCGTTTAAAAGATGTGATTTGAGCTAGAGTTTTTAGTAACGTGACTTACCAAATTTTAAGATTTTATGACATTGATCGACGTATTTGAGCAACAGATTTACCATGGAATTAGTTCTTTAATTTATGGGTTTTACGGTTTTAGGATGGTTCTCAAATAAAAAAGAAAGGAGACATTTTGTATAAAAAAGGCGTACATATATGAAATAACACAGTTTTTAGTCCACACACGTACACATGGAAGACGTAGAATGCAATTTCCTTTTTAGTAATCCGTCCAGCGGAAAGTAACCCAAGTGTTAGGCTGCCAACTGCAGTAAATCATTTCTCAGGATATTTCTCGGCTTCACTCCTATCCGACAATTCTGTTGTTCCTCAAACTAGCGCCAATCTTCGTGAGACTTATGACTAGAAAGCCAAGAAATTCCTGCGGTCGCAATGATTTGCGGTGGGGATTTCTCATGGCTTATCTACAACTACAAGCACGCTGTGGAGTGGCGCTGGGGCACGTTTTGAGACTCTTGTTGTTTATTCTGTTGTACTTATACTGTACTAACAAAAAAGAGTACAAGGATGGAAAGAATTGGCTAGGTTGTAAAGTAACAATTTTAATTCACTCGAGGACCTTGATTACGTTTTTAAGTTCAGTTAATTTAAAACAGGTAGCCTACCATCACGATGTTTGCTTATTTCTCTTTCCATAGCCTATCCTCATCTGCTCTTTGCATCCGTGCAATCAATTTTTTTGTAGGGCCTACTCAAAGTTACGTAGACACCTTCATAGACGAAGTCTATTGACGTAAGTAAAAGTATAAATGTTGCCCATTGTACTATGATCCTTGGTTGGTTAATGATGTTTAATGATTTACACGTTCGGTTCAAATTGCTATTTGATTCTTATCGATGTTATGGTGTTCTAATTTTCGGATAAGACGATGAGCTTAGAGCTATGATTGAGTAAGATTCTCCACAATTTTCGGACGATATGGTGAGCTATGATTGAGCCTATAAGTTTTTCCAAATCCATGAGCTCAATATCCATCCAAACTTTTTCAATGCAAGCAGCATGAACAATACTTTCTCAGTACTTACTTCGATGAAGCGTGTTTTTTACAATTCAAATTTCGTAGCTCAAACATTACCTATATCTCGTCTCCCGAGCTTCAAGTTCCAAACGAGGTCCTGGGAGGTGATAATTAAACGGTCCACTTACCGATGATGGAAGATCGCGCCAAATTGCCAGCTGCCTTCACAATTTGTTTTTCCAATCTGCAATTATTCGGGCGGGATCTCCTAGCAGCGAGGTGGATGACCGGAGAATGTTCGCAGGTCGTGTAGTACAAGTCGAGATGTTCGCAGGTCGTGTAGTACGTTCGCTAACCACGCTCGTTCGTGCCTTCCACATGTAAATAACAACCTTGAGGAGGCGTGGTTGTGTCCCACCTCACCGCCCGGAACGGATCCGCTGCTCCTGTTGGAGGCATCGTTGTTGCAAGCTGCTGCTGGAACTTGTAGAGTACTTTGTTACACCTTTTTACGGTGGAAATGAGAATTCTCGTGTTTAGAGCGTAATGAAGCTTTACGATTAGGTTATGAGTGATGTATTTTTGTTTACACTCAGAATATTTCAGCATCCGTTCAACGCAACTACTTTATCAACCAAAGGCTTCACTGGTACATTCCCTTCCTCTATAGATTTGAATCATAAACTATTTGATTCATAGCTTTGGAAGTTATTTCATTTCACTCGAGACAATTGGACCGTATTGCCAACTTGAGCATTTCACGGAAACTATTTGTTAATAGAGAATACACTACAATAAGTAAACCATTAAGAATTAAATCGTGTTAATTTTGTTATACTGTTCACTGATTTGAGCTTTGGTTTTTTGCAGGATTATCGTCGTGACAGCTTTTATTTGAAGGCCACTTGGAAGTGATTTAGGAAAAATTGGTAAGTATTACACTCTGCCACTATTCTTAAATCTGTATAATAGGCAAATGTATCATAAAAAAACCAACATTCAAGCTGGATTGTTTTTTTAACCAACTACCTGACATTAAATTAATGTTGCTTGTCAGATTTGTTTGTACATTAAGATTATTTCCAATCTTTTCATGTTTGAATTTTTTGTCATTTTGCCTTGTTGAATTTTTGTTCCCAATAAAAGTGGCCGACTTATTTCTTTTAGTTAAAAAAGTCAAACCCAGTAACTCGATTAAAACGTATAGGCTTATCATGCTTATTTGCGATCTCTGATTCCACCATATCTCCAGGAGCAATGAACAACTTTCGCATATCTTTGGATTGCGAAGTGATAGGAACGGAAGCTTGTTGGATTTGTTTGTACACGATAAGACCATCTGGCAAACACTTAAGATTGTAAAAGTGTTGGTGATAATACTACATTCGTCGAAATGCGATAAGCTCACAGCTGAGACAGTTGTCTACAGACAGTGTGCCGCCTTCGCGGGCGGATCGTATTTCTGTATCGTTGCGGTTAGTATCACGTTTATGTGCCAAGGTAGAATATATCATGGTCTTTGTGAACACTTTCCTCCACTGAATTAGGTAGTGAATAAGTTTTAAGACATTGTATTTACACTAATCCTTGGTAGAAAATAAATTTGAGATTTAAAAACATAAAAACTAGAGAATAAGATAACCATTTTACCGTAACAAATCTTACCAGCTTCCATCACCTAATTACTCGAATGCCTAACACTCGTGAAGAATTACTTCACTGAGACGGCGAATTACTTTTTACTGCGTATCGATGCAGGGCGAGCATACAATGAAGGGGGTCATATGTGCAGCTTTGTTACCGTTTACAATTAGATGTTTCTTATCCAGGATGATTAACAAGCACGATGATCAAGAAAAGCTGGGCCCAGTTCTAAACCTTTTAAAAGACACCGACTTTTCCTAGGAACGAACGAGCGATCCTCGGATTGTTAGACAAACACTATCTTCATCTTGACGTTATCGACTAACCACACCACTAAGTAGCAATAATTCAACAGGCACTCTAGACATATTATCAACAACTTACGCCACGAAAGATGAATATGCTGATTGTGATTTGAGCAGTCAAAGGCTAATTGGCAAGGCTGATCAATGTTTGGAGAAAGTCTGGCGAATCTGGCATTTGTGACGGGTCAGAGGCCGGTGCCGAAACCTGGGTTTGGGTACGTGCTAGGAGAAACTGGTATTTGGTATGTCGTATTGGGTACGGACTAACTTATGGTTTGTAGCTCGATGAATGAATGGCCTTATAAGTTTTTCTACACAAAAATAATTTGATAGCTAAAGAACAGTTTCTCATTTGAAACAAGATAATTACAATTCTTTACACAATTCTTTGAAAAGCAAGCCTCTTTCATATCGTAAAATTATAAAGTATCATATTCCTACCAGATAAATTTTGGAATAGTTAAATTGGAGGTAACTGTGCACGAAGTGGTATCATTTTGAAAACTCTTTTTGATTTGGATTGTATTTTACTTTTGTTAAATTTGAAATTAATTAAAATAAACGTTTATAACTACCGCCTGTCACACTATTCTACAACTATATAGTTTGAGAATTTTTAAAAGGAGATCCAAATCATACAGTTCTTCAACCCACCAGGACACTATAACTTTCCACATATTTTAACCTGCCTGACCACACGATTACAGTCCAATCCTGAAATCCTCTCGAATTCCTTGGCACCTTGTGCTGTCAGAATCCTCTAAGATTAGGTCTTAGGGGCATCTGGTCAAAATATTTTAGAAGCTAGTCAGGACATTAGAGGTGATTAACGGTCTGACTATCGAAATATATTATATAAAAATTGCTCGTTCAATCAACGTCACCATAAGATCAAGCACAGCATTTTTTATTTGTAGTTAACTCTATTTGTAAGTTTATTGTATTTATAAACCCTAGTCAGAAAATGAAAATCACTGTAATTCTCACGGGAATTTATCTAACACACCTTGGAAAAGACTTTCACAAATTAATATCAAGATTGGACATATTGACGTGGCTGGATATTTACTGGACTTACTTCGTTTGACATAATTTTGAAAGCGTTTACATGTTTACTACTCAGTCTATAGTTTGTAAAATTTTACAACTAACAGTTTGCACAGACCCCTTATCTGTCTTTTGCAGATGTAGTGAATTACAAAACGAAAAGCGGACGCAGATTTTTAAAAGCTATCTCTCAGCATCCACTTCAGACTGTCAAGGAGATGATGCGTAACGAATCAATTAAGGTAAAATGAGTCCATTACGGCGTAAAATGAATCCATTAACTGTGTAAAATGGATCAATTAACGATCTTGGAGATGGAAATGACAAGTTGTCAAGATCGGCGCGTCTCGACAATTTCGATAATTAATTTAACAGGTCGCAGGCTGGTAGATTAACACTTACTTAACGGTTTACGGGAATCTTTTGATAACTGTCGTTGGCAACTCTGCGTTTTTTGAATTTCCATCAATAATCATTCTATGAGATTGAATTATTAAGGAGATCTGTTTCATGGATCTCGGAAAATTTTCTTAAGTACATCGTGTCAATAATTGTTGCTAAAGGTGTAGGCCTTGTAGGTTTGTATTATTAACGAGAATCAACGTCAACAAAGTCTTCTGTATAGCATCTTTTATTTGCCAGCCAAACTATCGAAATCGTTAACTTTATCCTCGTGTAATATTTTCAATTGGTTCCGCATTCCTTTGCATCTATGTCAACTTTGTAGCATTTTGTTCAGGTTTACAGTCAAAACTACTTTAAAAAAAAATTACAGATGTAGTCATTATAGTCTTAATTGCTGAAACGAGTGCTAACAATGCCTAAGTGTTGTGAGAATTACATTTTATCTGGTATTTAACACCAGCTATTCACCATCGCGAATTTCCGATAGCAGCATTTATATAGCATAATCGTCAAAACAGTATTTCAGTCCAAAACTCCTGTAGTTCCGATTGTGCTATGTAGCCAGCAGCCTGCCTGTACCAAGTATACCGTACCAGGGATCGGGTCTGCTCGGACCAGTTCATTTACATGCAGCCGGGTCCGATAATGCCAATAAATATGGCCGATCGTTTGTTTTGAGCCAGGAAGGTTATCAGATTCTCCCCCTTCTCTCTCAGACTGACGCTATATTTCTCCGGTTCTGTCCAAGTTAATCACCTGCTGTTGTTAGTATACCTATCTCCATCTGCCTCTCCCTTTTCTCTTTCTCTCTCCCCCTCCCACACAATCTTATCTGCATGAATCTTCTCCAACGAGTCGTTCGCCTTGCCGCCGCCGTGGCTGTCTAGTGTCTGGTGTCCTGCAGTGGCTAAGGTCCTCGACTGCAGTACCGTCTGGGTGGTTGCAGAAGAAAAATGAGATTCATACGCTTTACTATTGATTCCCTTGGAATTTAGTTAACTTACTTGATAGGGAATCAGTATCAAATGTCTGTCTGCTTTCTGGATTAGATATATTCTTGATCATTGAAGTTTTTACGCCTAGCGAAAGATTGGCTGGTTTCATTACCTAAGCTGCATTATGAAATAATTAAAATGCAGGGAAAATATCATATCAACCATTACGTTACTTTGGAACCATGTGTCTTGTAATCATGTACATATATAAGTTTAAGGCTATACTTATGTTTGTCTTGTATTTTTTAAATTTGTATTTGTTTGTAGCGCACTTATAACAAAAATCAAAAACTCAGTATAAAACCTTATGTCCCTTTTCGTATTCAGAATTGTACATACATCAATGTGTTTATTCTTACTTTCAATTAATCAGCAATTTGTTTTTAAATTTCCTCCACAGCTAAACACACAAGACTTGTAAATTTATTTGATCACAAGCGAGTTACAATTTCCCAATTGAATAAAACCCACGCAGAACACGAAGTAAAACAGAAACGGAATTGTAAACACTTCCATTAGCGAAAAATGGATCATAACTTGGCCCGGTGTTGGTCTATTTCCAAATGTTTGGATGCAGAACCAACAGTTAGCAGTTATGTGAACAAACAAACAGTCAATATTTAACGGCGGCTTCTGCAGAAATAACCGATAGTGGTCAAACCTTGCGCTACATTTGTTGACTTTATGTTCTGCAGAGAGGTAAATTTATGACGGTATTTTTGATCTTGCTCAAAAGGTTATTAATGTAGTCATGCTTTACTTTTCTTAGTAGAGTGCTGTACTGAGTTTTGGTTTTAGGTGAACCCCGACGGTATAATCTTTTGCTGTTAAATGTTTTAATCTGGTATAGTTAAAGTTGTTGCGAAACTTGTACTAGAATGAATAATTAATGTGTAATGTGTTGAAATCGAATGCACTTTTAAGTACAGGAATATCCGTTGATCTGTAGGTTATTATTTTCATATCATTGCTAAATCACAAAGATAGATAGTGTTTCCCCTAATACCCCTAAAAATTAAATTAAGCACATTTAAAACCCGCATAGTGAAGACATAATAACTATAATTAGTTACCGGGTTGAGAATTACATATGCGGAAATTCAAGTTGGGAAGGAAATAAAGAAAGAGCCGACAAACACCTTAGTAGGGGCGCGCTAATGAAAAATTAACAATCATCCGCAGCGGGCGGCGTGAAGAGGAAGAATCCTGGAGAGGGTTGAGGAGTGGAGGGGAGTCATATCATTATGTCTAAGGGGAGGGGTGTGACGGAAAATGCACTACCGGAAAAATGCATTAAACACCCTTGTACATCCTGGAGATCCTCATCGATCATAGTTTACACTTATGTAACTTGGTCTCATAGTGCTTTTTGGGGGTACACTATTTTATTGATATAATGACAAAGTGTATAGTTTTTCTTTAATGCTATAATCACGGTATTTATATAACATGCTTGCTGACTTGATATTTGTCAATGTGAGTTTTCATTCAGAATCTTAATTTAGTTAATTGATCGAGTTCTGGATAGTTAAA